GGTGGGGGAAGATGGGCACAGATGTCAGCCCAGGGTCAATTTTCCTCAGCAAAATGAGAAGAACTGGCAACAGATGTTAGCTCAGGGCTAATCTTCCTTATCCCCACCCCCCAAAAAAGAAATCTCAAGAGAAATATAAAAATATTTTGAACTAAATTAAAATGAAAACTTATCAAAGTTTATGGGATGCAGAGAAAGCAGTTCTTAGAGGGAAATTTATAGCACTGAATGCATACATTAGAAAAGAAGATAGATCTAAAATCAATCATCTAAGCTTCCACATTAGGAAACCAGAAAAAGAAGAGCTAATTAAATCCAAAGTAAGCAGAAGAAAGAAATAAAAATTAGAGCAGAAGTCAGTGAAATTGAAAACAGGAAATCAATAGAGAAAATCAACAAAACCAAAAGCTGCTTCTTTGAAAAGATAATAAAATCAATAAACCTAAAGCCAGGCTAACTTAGAAAAAAGAGAGGACACAGATTACTAATATCAGAAATGAAAGAGGGGACATCATTACAGATCCCATGGTCATTGAAAGGATAATCAAGGAATACGATGAACAAATCTGTCTACAAATTCAATGACCTAGTTGAAATGGACTGATTCATTGAAAGATAAAATCTGCCAAAAACTAATGAAAGAAGAAACAGACAATCTAAATAGGCTTATATCAATTAAAGAAATTGAATCAATAAATAATAAGCATCAGACCTAGATGGTTTCACTGGTGAATTCTACCAAACATTTAGAGAAGAAATTATACCAATTCTTTACAATCTCTTTCAGAAGAAAGAAGCAGAAGGAATACTTCCTAACTCATTCTGTGAAATGAGCACTACCTTAATACCAAAACCACACAAAGACATTACAAAAAAAGAAAACTGCAGACCAACATCTTTCATTAACATTGATGCAAAAATCCTCGTCAAAATATTAGCAAATTGATGGGCCAGCCCTGGTGGCCTAGTGGTTAAGTTTGGCATGCTCTGCTTCAGTGGCCCAGGTTCAGTTCCCAGGCACGGACCCACACCACTCGTCTGTCAGTGGCCAGGTTGTGGCAGTGGCTCACACAGAAAATAGAGGAAGATTGACAACAGATGTTAGCTCAGGGCAAATCTTCCTCATGGGGGGAAAAAAAATATATATATATATAAGCAAATTGAATCCAACAATGTATAAAAAGAATTATACACCATGACCAAGTGGGATTTAGCCAAGGTATACAAAGCTGGTTCAACATCCAAAAATAAATTAATATAATACATCGCATCAATAGGCTAAAGAAGAAAAATCACATGATCACATCAATAAAAGCAGAAAAAGCATTTGACAAAAATCCAACAGCCAGTAATGATAAAACTCTTAGCAACCTAGAATAGAGGTTAACTTTCTGATCTTGATAAAGACTTTCTACAAAGAAAACCTATAGCTAACATCATACTCAACAGTGAGAAACTTGAAGCACCAAGATAAAGGGGTCAATTATAAAGAACAAGGCAAGGATATCCTCTCCCACCACTGTTTTTCAACATTGTACTGGAAGTCCTAGCTAATGCAATAAGACAAGAAAAGGAAATAAAAAGTATACAGATTGGGAAGAAGAAATAAAACTGCCTTTGTTCTCAGATGACATGATCACCTATGTAGAAAATTTGAAAGCACTGAGAAAAAAACTCCTGAAACTAAAAGTGATTATAGCAGGGATGCAGGATACAAAGTTATTACACAAAAGTCAATTGCTTTTCTATAGATCAGCAGTGAACAAACAAAATTTGAAATTTAAAACACAATACCCTTGGGCCGGCCCTGTGGCTTGGTGGTTAAGTGCGCGCACTGCAATGCTGGTGGCCCGGGTTCGGATCCCGGGTGCGCATTGAGGCACCACTTCTCCGTCCATCCTGAGGCCGAGTCCCACATACAGCAACTAGAAGGATGTGCAGCTATGACATACAACTATCTACTGGGGCTTTGGTGGGAAAAAATAAAATAAATAAAATCTTTAAAAAAAAAAACAAAAAAAAACACAATACCCTTTACATTAGTACCCAAAAAATGAAATACTTAGGTATAAATGTAACAAAATATGTATAAGATCTATATGAGGAAAACTACAAAACTCTGAAGAAAGAAATCAAAGAAGAACTCAGTAAATGGAAAGATAGTTCATATTCATGGTAAGGAAGACTCATATTGTGTAGATGACAGTTCTTCCCAACTTCCCAACAATGATCTATAGATTCAATGCAATCTCAATCAAAATCCCAGCAAGTTATTTTGTAGGTATTGACAAACTGATTCTAACGTTTATATGGAGAGGCAAAAGACTCAGAATAGCCAACACAATATTGAAGAAGAACAAAGTAGGGGGACTGACACTATCTAACTTCAAGACTTACTATAAAGTTACAGTATTAGAGACAGTGTGGAACTGGCAGAAGAACAGAAAAATAGGTCAATGGAACAGAATAGAGAGACCAGAAAAAGACCCACATAAATATAGTCAATTGATCTTAGACTAAGGAGCAAAGCCAATACAATGAAGAAAATGTAGTCTTTTCCAAAAATGGTGCTGGGACAAGTGGATATCCATATGCAAAAGATTGAAGTTGGACTCCTATCTCACGCTATATACAAAGATTAATTCAAAATGGACCAAAGGCCTAAATATAAGAGCTAAAATTATAAAACTCTTTGAAGAAAATATAGGTGTAAATCTTTATCATCTTGGATTAGGGAATGGCCTCTTAGATATGACACCAAAAGTACAAGCAACAACAACAGAAAAATGGATAAATTGGACTTCATCAAAACTGAAAACTCAGAGAAAGTCAAATACCATATGATCTCACTCATAAGTAGAAGATAAAAGTAACAACAAACAATCACTTATGGACGGAGATTGGTTTGGTGGCTACCAGAGTGGAAGGTGGGGAGGAAGGAGGATGAAAGGGATGATTAGGCACATGTGTATGGTGATGGATTGTAATTAGTCTTTGGGTGGTGAACATGATGTAATCCATACAGAAATTGAAATATAATGACGTACACCTGAAAAAAAAAAAAAGAGCTATATTATATAAAAAAAAAAAAACTGAAAACTTTTTTGCTTCAAAGGACACTACCAAGAAAGTGAAAAGACACCTACTCAATCAGAGAAAATATTTGCAAATTATAAATCAGATAAGAGACTTGTATCCAGAATATATAAGGAACTATTACAACTCAACAATAAAATGAGAACACAATTTAAAAATGGGCAAAAGATTTCAATAGACGTTTTTCCAAAGAAGGTATACAAATAGCCAATCAGCCCATGAAAAAAATGCTCAACATCCTTTGTCATCAGGGAAATATAAATGAAAGCCACAATGAGACACCACTTCACATCCACTAGGATGACAATAAAAAAGACAGATAATAGCAAATTTTGGTGAGGATGGGAGAAATTGGAACCTGTGGTTGATAGACTAATGCTCCCCCCAAAAGATGTCCTTGCCCTCAACTCAGGAATTTGTGAATGAATTACGTTACAAGGCCAAAGTGAATTTGCTGTTTGATTAAGTTAAGGATCTTGAGACGGGGTGATTATCATGGATTATCCAAGTGGGCCTCATGTAATCACAAGGGTCTAATAAGAGGGAGTCAGTAGTGTCAGAGTCAGAGAAAAAGATGTGACAATGGAAACACAGGTTCAATTGATGCCCTTTGAAGATGGAGGAATACCAAGAAATGCAGACAGCTTCTAGAAGCTGGAAAAGGCAAAGAAACAGATTCTCCCCTGGAGCTTCCAGAGGGAATGAAGCCCTACTGACATCTTAATTTTTGACCTGTAAAACTAATTTCAGACTTCTAACTTCCAGAACTGTAACATAATAAATTTGTGTTATTTTAAGCCACTAAATTTGTGGTAGTTTGTTACAGCAGCAATAGAAAAACCAATACCAAACACTCTTACATTGCTGATGGAAAGATAAAATGGTGCAGGTGGCAAATAGTTTGGCAGTTCCTCAAAATGTTAAACATAGAGTTACCATATGATCCAGCAATTCTACTCCTAGAGAATTGAGAAGTCTACACAAAAACTTGTACATGAATGCTCAAAGCAGCATAATTCATAATAGTCAAAAAGTGGAAACAACCCAAATGTCCATAAATTTTTGAATGGATAAATAAATGTGGTATATCCATAGAATGGAATATTATCTAACCCTAAAAAAAGAACTGAAGTACTAATACATATTCCAACATGAACATGTACACGTGTAAACATAGTAAGTGAAAGAAGCCAGACACAAAAGGCCACATATTGTATGAATCCATTTATATGATATGCTCAGAACAGGCAAATCCATGGAGACAGATTAGTGGTTGCCAGGGGTTCGAAGGAGAGGAAAATAGGGAGTGACTGCTACTGGGTTGGGGGGCTGTATTTCCTTTTGGGGTGATAACAATATTCTGGAATTAGACAGTAGTGATGGTTGCACATCTTTGTGAACATACTAAAAACCACTGAATTGTACACTTTACAGAGGTAAAATTTCATACTATGTGAAGTATACGGCAAATAAAAAATTGGAAAAAAAGTCACGATCAGCAGTGTGATTTTCTGCACAACTTTTATGTGCCAGGCACTGTGATAGTTATAAATCCTGCCTCACTGATCTTACAGTTCAATCAATAGTGCACATTTCACATGGATATTTTTAGTGACTATGTGAGTACCTACTATGCTATCAACCCTTCTAGCATCCTGCGGGATTCCCAGAAGAATCACACCTGGTCCCTGAAAACCTGACTCTGGGTACACATACGGGTATGTACATCAACCTGCTAGCGGCGGTATTACTTAAACTGTTAACTTCGGGAGAGAGCCAAGGCAAAAAAGCGTAACGAAGGAAACAAGGCGCGACCCCACCCAAAATGGCCGCTCGCATCTCTAAGGGTCCGCGGCGCAGCGGCCCCAGGAAGTGACGTACGAGGAAGTTCCGGTTCCGCCTGTTCCGGGGCACGGGCGTATCTCGCAGGACTGCGCGGTGCACGTGTGTTGCTTCGGTGCGGGCTGCGGTCGCGATGGACGCCTTGGAAAGAGTTGTGTAAGTTGGCTGGCTCCCTGTCCCGGGGAAGGTTGGGGAGGGGGCTCTTGTGGCGGGAAGGAGTGATGTAGCCTCTACCCCTCGCTCCGCCTGTACCACTCTCCTTACTCACACCGTTTACCAGTCGGGCCGGGTCGGGGCCGGTCGACCTACTAGCCTGGGTCTCCTTCGGTTCGTGCCGCCTCCCGGGAGACAGAGAGCGGGGAAGCCCAGAGTGGGAGCCACGGGGTGGAGGTGGCGCAGAGGTATTGTCTGCTTTTGTCCTAGCCAGTTAGAAACGTCTTGGTTTCTGTCTGAAGCAGTGTGAGGGAGGTGGTGGAGGGAGGGTTACGAGCACAGACCTCGGAGTCTGACAGATCTAGGTGACAGGCCGGGCGCGTCCATTTAAAGCTTTGTGACTTTGGGCTATTTAATCTCCCTAAGTCTCAGTTTACTCGAAAATCGCGTTCATAGTAGCCAAGGAACTGTGAGAATTATTTGCGAGAATGTGTGTAAAGCCTTTGCTGCAGCACGTAGAAATGCTCATTTGCTTTTTGTTTTTCTCCCCCCCTTGTATACGTCTCCGAGTTATCCTTGATAACTGTTTGTTGATGTGATGTCTGTTTTAAATTCGTTCGATAAATATTTTTTAATCTCCTAAATATTCTCGGTGTTATTTGCTGTGGTTTTATTGCGATTTACCTGGGTTAACATGTCATCAAAAACAACAAATTCCTTTAGTCATTAATTCAGATATTTTCGCACATTTGCTATATATTTCTCTAGATGTGAGGACTGCAAATATCCGTAAGACTAGTTTACAGTTTAATTGGGGGCAAACAGCTAATAAAACGTGTAAGGTGTTACTTACATTTGTTGCTGGCTACTGAGAAGTAACAAACCACATGGAATATAGTGCATATAGCACTTGAATTGCCATATAGACGCTAAATATCTCTTGATTTGATTTAATAAATAATATGTCTTTATCAACCAGTAAATGATTAGAAGCTTTATATGTGCTTGACATTTTATCTGGAGAGGAATTTTTAAAGTATGCATGGTAAACTAAAGTGTGTGTATATTCTGTTTTTCTTCTCAAAGTGTCCGTAGGACCGGAAGAAGTAGGGAGGGTCATAGTTATTTAAAAAAAAGAAGAATTCTTTTAGTAGATGGCAGAGGACTGTTGGAAAAGCAACATGCTCATTGTAGTGGAAGCAGAGGTGAAACCCTTTATCTGAACAGAAATGTATAAAAACGTTCTATTCCTGCTGTTACATCATAAAGTCAGAATAATGGATTTGTTTTCTCTTCATATTTTGCAGGGTAATTGATCTAGATGAATTCTTAAATCTAGCTCATTTTGAAGATTTGCCTACTTACAAGCTATATGACCCCGGGCAGATTACTTCTCTGGGCTCAGGTGCCTCACCTGTAAGATAAAGATAATTGTACTTGTCTTGGTGAGGGTAAAGCCTTAATAGAACGACTATAATAAGTGTCAGTCATTATCATTCCCTTTTTGTGGAGTAATGTTTGACTTCTCAGCAGTGATGTTGGAGTGGGATAGTGTATACTTCCTTGGAGGCATTGTGGTCTTGAACCTGGAGGAAAGATAAGCGGTAGTTAGCCTCCCTATGTTTAGTAACTGCCCACAGGTTGATGAGCATTTGGTGTGCAGTTCTTTGTGTTAGGATACAGGGTACAGTTTGATTGCTTTAAGATCGAAGAAAAAATAATGGAGTAAAAATAGCAAGAGTATTCATTTGAGTCCTTTTTTTTTTTAATAAAAAAAGATTTAGAAAAAAAGCAGTAATGAAAGAATGCTGGGAATATCAAAATGCAAGTCCTCTTGAAAAACTAAAAGCTAATAAAATTAGCACTTATTTAACAGTAATAACTGATTGTCCTTTACTGATTATCTCCCTAAAAAGTGAGATTTTGTTTAATGGTGGAATCCTAACTGATAAATGTTATATAATGTCTCTGTTGATTTTTAAGATTTTGCACATTAGTCAAGTCACGGTTTTGTAATGTGAGGAAAACGTTTTAAGTTGTTATGAATTGTTATTTTCTGAACAGAAAGCCCAAAACGAAAAGGGCCAAGAGATTCCTTGAGAAGAGAGAACCGAAACTCAATGAAAATGTTAAAAATGCCATGCTGATTAAAGGGGGAAATGCAAATTTAACAGTGACACAAGTACTTAGAGATGTGGTACGTATATATACTTATTTTTTAAATGGTATTGAAATCATTTTAGGAAATGTTCAGCATACTAGTTTGCATTGCTGGAGAAATACATAGATAAGTTTGCTTTACCTTATGAGCTGCCAGCTTTAGAGAAAAACTAAAGTTGGAGGTTATTTGCCTTGCCAAGGCACTGACTGCTGGTTTTCCTTAAAGCAACTAGTTCCCTTAGTAAATTTCAACTGTTTCCAATTATGGAATTTGGTTTAGTCACATTTAAGGCACATATCTAATTTGTAAAGTGAAATAACTGCATATTACTGTATATATTTATTCCTTCACCAACACCAGTTACTGTGCTAGGTGCTCGGGATTAACAGTTAGATAAGATGCAGTCTCTCCCTTCAGTGAGCTTAGTGAGGGAGACAGACAAGTAAAAAGTTATAGCATTGTGAATTAAGTGCTGTGCTGGAGGCATGCACAGAGTAGGATGGGAGGCAGAGTTAAAATCCCATAGGGGTAGCCACACACAGGATGGGCTCCCCAGAGATGACACAAGCTTCCTTTTGAAGGAGCAGTTGGAGCAAGAAGGGAGAGAGGAGGAGGAAGAGAAGGGCTTCCAAGGCTGAGGAAAAAGCTATGGAGAAGGGGCTGTGAAGGAGCATGATGCATTTGGGGAACTGCATATAATTGGGGATGGCTAAAGGAGAGTGGGCTAGATGAAGCCAGAACAGGCAGGGATCAGACAGTAACATGGAGCTTGAGCTGTATTCTGAAGGCTCTGAGGAACCATTGAAAGATCTGAAGTGAGAGATATAATCAATCCTTTTAATTGGTTTGACTAGACAGGGTTGAGAGCAAATGAAGGAAACTAATTAAGCCATTGCTGTCAGCCAGTACAGAGCATCTGGAGTCTGGTGGCAGTGAACATGAGAGATGACCAGAGAGAATAGATGTTGAGGGTAGAAGAGTTGGGCAGGAGTAAGAAGTATTACTTACCAGGATTCTGGCTTGGATGCCTGATGAGTGACAATGCCAATTAGAGAAAATATCAGGTGGAGCAGGTTTGGAGGAAAGGTGATGTGTTCAGTTTAGGACATGTAATTTAAGTGAAGAAGATAAAAGCTCTGTTTTTTTCTACCTCTGTAGCCTGGTGTCTAGCCCAGTGTCTGGCACATAGTAAGTGCTCAATAAATATTTAATCAGTGAATGAAAGGCATAGTCTGTGGAGTTATCTAGTAGATAGTTGAATATTTAGGCCTTGAGTACAGCAGATAGATTCTTTGAGTTAAATCAACTAAGTAATTGAATAGATTTTTAAATGCTTTATTTTTTTTTTTTAGTGAGGAAGATCAGTCCTAAGCTAACATCCATGCCAATTCTCCTCTTTTTGCTGAGGAAGATTGGCCCTGAGCTAACATCTATTGCCAATTCACCTCCTTTTTTTTCCCTTTTTCTCCCCAAAGCCCCAGTAGATAGTTGTACGTCATAGTTGCACACCCTTCTAGTTGCTGTATGTGGGACATACAGCATGGCTAGACAAGTGGCGCGTCGGTGCGCGCCCGGGATCGGAACCCCGGGCCGCCAGTAGCAGAGCGCGCGCACTTAACCACTAAGCCACGGGTCCGGCCCCTGAGTAGATTTTTAAACTTGACTAAACTCCCTATGTGATGGTCAATTCAGCTATCAGTGTCTAAATGGTCTCATCCTTTTTGATATGTTTGTCTGAATGTCATTATATTGTTGGAATACTGCCCCTGTCCTCTGAGAGCAGCACAATATTACGGATTATTACAATAGTTAACACTCATTGATGACTCTGAGTTGTCAACAAAGTAGTAATTCATTACACTGAGGCAGGGAAACATTTGGTCAAGAGTCATCAAAAGTTTTAGTATTTAAAAAGATAGATTTTCCGGCCCGGCCCTGTGGCTTGGTGGTTAAGTGCGCGTGCTGCAATGCTGGTGGCCCGGGTTCGGATCCCGGGTGCGCATCGAGGCACCACTTCTCCGTCCATCCTGAGGCCGAGTCCCACATACAGCAACTAGAAGGATGTGCAGCTATGACATACAACTATCTACTGGGGCTTTGGGGGGAAAAATAAAATAAATAAAATCTTAAAAAAAATAAAAATAAAAATAAAAGGATAGATTTTCCTGGTGAATTTCCTTTGTTCACCAGCTCTGATAGTTGATGAATGATCATCTCACCTTATTTTTCGTTGTTTCCCTCATTTACCCCTTTCTCTAATGCAAGGTAATGCCTTAGATCTTTGTTATTTCCTATGGTAGAGCATAGGACCATACAGGTGATAAGTGATTATTAGTGGATGGGTGGAAAGAAGTAGGAAAAAAATGAAAAGAGGGTTGAATAACCCGAATTTTTTTAAAGGGCTGTGTTTCTGGCTAGTAATCTGATTGTCATCTTTGTGACTGTTTCTCAGTTCTGTTATCTCCAGACAACATTTCAATTCTGTCAGCCTTTCCTTATAGGATTTATTTTTTCTGTTTTCTTCTGCTCTACTTTCTACTCTCAAATTGTTTGCCTGGAAAGAAGGGAATAGGTAGAGTTTAAATCAATGAAGGAAATCATTTAAGTTGGATAGCCTCTTGAAAGGACATAGAAACCTTTTTTTTTTTAAAGATTTTATTTATTTATTTTCCCCCCAAAGCCCCAATAGATAGTTGTATGTCACAGCTGCACATCCTTCTAGTTGCTGTATGTGGGAAGCGGCCTCAGCATGGCCGGAGAAGCGCTGTGTCGGTGCGCGCCCGGGATCCGAACCCCAGGCCGCCAGCAGCGGAGCTCACGCACTTAACCGCTAAGCCACGGGGCCGGCCCAGGACATAGAAACCTTTAATTAAGAAAGTCCATGGGGCCGGCCCTGTGGCTAAGTGGTTAAAGTTCCTTGTGCTCCGCTTTGGCAGACCGAGTTCGCTGGTTTGGATACCAGGTGTGGACCTACATCACTCACCAGCCATTCTGTGGCAGCATCCCACATACAAAAAATAAAGGAATATTGGCACAGATGTTAGCTCAGTGCTGATCTTTCTCAAGCAAAAAAAAAAAAGAAAGAGGAAGATTGACAACAGATGTGAGTGAAGGGTGAATCTTCCTCAGCAAAAAAAAGAAAATCCAGTCTAGGTTAGAATGTTAAGCATGTGTTGCACGTTGTTGTAAGTGATCTAAAGGGAGCCAAGCAGAAGACATCAGAATAGGATTCAAGGACCAGGATAATCTTGTATAATGATTATTATAATGCTTTATTTTTATCTCTGCTTTTTAGAATGTGTTTTGTTTTGAAATCTATAAATTATGTTTTACAGCATGCACTGAAAAAACCATATGGCGTTCTGTATAAAAAGTAAGTCATGACTTCTTTTACTTTACTTTAAATTTTATTGTTCCATTATAAAAGTAACAGCCAACCATTTTATGGAAGATTTAGGAAACTTTTTTTTTAAAAAACACTATAGGAGCTGGCCCCATGGCATAGGGGTTAAGTTCGGCACACTGCGGTTTGGTGGCGTGGGTTCGAGGGTTTGGATCCCAGACATGGACCTACACCACTCGTCAGCCATGCTGTGGTGGTGACTGTTATGAGAGGTTTGGGGGATTCGATCGGAGACGTAAAAGCAACTTTCCACTCCAAACAAATGGATTGAAGGTATATTTTATTATATAGAGGATAGTAAGGGCTATAGTCTGCAACAGAATAGGTCAGATATTAAGAGGGAAAAACATCAGCTCGACTGGAAAGGGAAAACACCCACATCAACTGAAGAGAAATGACACAAATCAACCGGAAAGACAAACACCAGGTTGACCGAAAAGAGAACACATCAGATCAATTACTTCACAATAAATCAATTACTTCACATCAAATCAATTACTCACAACATCCACACCCCACTGCCGGGAGAGTCCTGTCAATCGACACGGCTGGGCAAGGATCACACGTCCTGGGCAAGGCGTCCCTTCCACAGGTGGAACTCTCACCAGGGCTCAGTTTCCAGCAGTTTTTATACCATCAGTAATTTTCAGAGTAAGCAGTTACAGAGTTTGCAGAGCAAGCATTTAGTGTTTTCATGCACAAATGGTTATCAGTGGCGTACTGAGCCCCCTGGCTATCGTCCCAGCCCAGTAGTTGTGTACATGCGTTGTTCTCTCTAGTTATCGTCCCAGCCTGGCACAGATGGCCAGTCCGTCCCGCGCTATGACACCCAAAGAGCCTTGAAATGTTACAACTTGCAACTCTCTCGGTGGGAGAAAGGCCAGTTCCCACCACACAGAAAGCAGCTTTATATTTCTTTGTGTGCTGGTGGCTATAGGTCAATGGAACGGCCAAACATGGCTGTACGTATGTCTAGACAGGGACACACATACAAAATGGTGGAAGATTGGCACAGATGTTAGCTCAGGGCGATTCTTTCTCGAGTAAAAAGATGAAGATTGGCAACAGATGCGAGCTCAGGGTGAATCTTCCTCAACAACAACAACAAAACAAAACAAAACAAACTATGGTTCCTCACATACATTTTTTTTTTTTTTTGTGAGGAAGATCAGCCCTGAGCTAACATCCATCCCAATCCTCCTCTTTTTGCTGAGGAAGACCCGCCTTGAGCTAACATCTATTGCCAATCCTCCTACTTTTTCTCCCTTTTTCTTCCCAAAGCCCCGGTAGATAGTTGTATGTCATAGTTGTGCATCCATCTAGTTGCTGTATGTGGGACGCAGCCTCAGCATGGCCGGAGGAGTGGTGCACGGGTGCGCGCCTGGGATCGGAACCCGGGCCGCCAGTAGTGGAGCGTGCGCACTTAACCGCTAAGCCACGGAGCCGGCCCCCCCTTACATACATTTTTAATTTATTTCCTTCAGTCTGTTTTTTCATTTGTATTGAATATTCTTACATAGTTGTAATCATGGCATATATATATATTTTTTGAAATAAAATATGTATATTTGTATACTTATATTTTACTTACAGAAAAGCTGCAAAAATGGTAGAGTTCCCATATACCCTTCACTTAACTTCTCCTAATGTAACATCTCGCATAACTATAGTACAATTATGAAAAGTAAGAAAGTAACATTGGTACCGTTATGTTAACTACAGACTTGATTTTGGTTTGTACCAGTTTTTCACTAATATTCTTTTTCTCTCCTGGATCCCACATTGCATTTAGTTGTCATGTCTCCTCCAATTTGTGACAGTTGCTCATCTTTGGAGACCTTGTCACTTTTGAAGTGTACTTGCTAGTTACTTTGTAAAATATCTTTCAGTTTGGATTGTCCTGAGTTTCTCATGAATAGATTGAAGTTCTGCATTTTTGACAAGAATACCCCAAAGTGATGTATTTTTCTCAATAAATCATAACGCGGTATATGATGTCTTACACTGGTGGTGTTAACCTTAGTCAAAGTGGTTACTTTTTTTAGTTACTATTAAGTTATTAACTTAATAACTACTATAACTTATTAACTATTAAGTTAACTATAAGGTTACTATTTTTCCCTTTGTAATTAACAAACGTTTGGAGGAGATACTTTGAGACTATGCAAATCTTCTTTCTCTTCAAACTTTTGCTTATTTTTAGCATCCATTGTGGATCTTGTCTTTTTTTAATTGAAGTAACTGGTTTATAACATATAAATTTCAGGTGTACATCATTATATTTCGATTTCTGTGTTGATTACATCATGTTCATCGCCCAAAGACTAATTACCATCTGTCACCATATACATGTGCCTGAACACCCCTGTTGCCCTTCACCTTCCCCTCTTCTCCTCTGATACCCACTAATCCAATCTCTGTCTCTATGTGTTTGTTTTTTGTTGTTTTTACCTTCTATTTATGAGTGAGGTCATACGGTATTTGACTTTCTGACTTATTTCACTTAGCATAACACCCTCAAGGTCCATCCATGTTGTCGCAAATGGCAAGGTTTCATCTTTTTTATGGCTGAGTGGTATTCCATTGTGTATACATACCACATCTTCTTTATCCATTCGTCCCTTGATGGGCACGTAGGTTGCTTCCGAGTCTTGGCTGTTGTGAGTAATACTGCAGTGAACATAGGGGTCTGTGTATCTTGACGCATTCATGTTTTCATATTCTTTGGATAAATATCTAGCAGCGGAATAGCTGGATCGTATGGTAGTTCTATTCTTAATTTTTTGAGAAATCTCCATAGTGTTTTCCATAGTGGCTGCACCAGTTTGCACTCCCACCAGGAGAGTTCCCTTCTCTCCACATCCTCTTCAACACTTGTTATTTCTTGTCTTGTTAATTATAGCCCATTTTGACAGGTGTGAGGTGATATCTCATTGTAGTTTTGATTTGCATTTCCCTAAAAGATGTTGAACATCTTTTCCTGTGCCTGTTGGCCATGTGTATATCTTCGGCCATGTGTATATCTTCTTTGGAGAAATGTCTGTTCAGGTCTTTTGCCCGTTTTTTAGTTGGGTTGTTAGTTTTTTTGTTGTTGAGCTGTATGAATTCTTTATATATTTTGGATATTAACCCCTTATCATATATATAGTTTGCAAATATCTTCTCCCAGTTGTTAGGTGGTCTTTTCATTTTGTTGATGGTTTCCTTTGCTGTACAGAAGCTTTTTAGTTTGATATAGTCCCATTTGTTTATTTTTTCTTTTGTTTCCCTTGCCTAGTCAGACATGGTGTTTGAAAATACCGGTTGTTGCTACGACCAATGTCAAAGAGCTTACTGCCTATGTTTTCTTCTAGAAGTTTTATGGTTTCAGGTCTTACATTCAAGTCTTTAATCCATTTTGAGTTAATTTTTGTGTATAGTGTAAGATAATGTTCTACTTTCATTCTTTTGCATGTGGCTGTCCAGTAGTTTTCCCAGCACCATTTATTGAAGAGACTTTCCTTTCCCCATTGTATGTTCTTGGCTCCCTTGTCAAAAATTAGCTGTCCATAGATGTGTAGGTTTATTTCTGGGCTCTTGATTCTGTTCTATTGATCTGTGTCTTTTGTGTCAGTACTATGCTGTTCTGATTACTATAGCATTGTAGTATGTTTTGAAATCAGGGAGTGTGATACCTCCAGCTTTGTTCTTTTTTCTCACGATTCCTTTAGCTATATGGGGTCTGTTCTTGTTCCGTATAAATTTTAGGATTCTTTGTTCTATTTTTGTGAAAAATGTTGGAATTTTGATAGGGGTTGAATTGAATCTGTAGATTGCTTTAGGAAGTATGGACGTTTTAGCTATGTTAATTCTTCCGATCCAAGAGCATGGAATATCTTTCCATTTATTTGTGGCTTCTTCAGTTTCTTTCAACAGTGTTTTATAGTTTTCAGTGTACGGGTCTTTCAGCTCTTTGGTTAAATTTATTCCTAGGTATTTTATTCTTTTTGCTGCAATTATAAATGGGATTGTATTCTTAATTTCTCTTTCTGCTACTTTGTTGTTAGTGTATAAAAATGCAACTGATTTTCGTTTATTTTGTACCCTGCAACTTTACTGTATTCATTTATTATTTCTAAAAGTTTTTTGGT